CAGCAGCACAAGAGCAGCAGCAGCAGCAGCAAGAGCAGCAGCAGCAGCAAGAGCAGCAGCAGCAGCAGCACCACAAGAGCAGCAGCAAGCTGTGCAGAGTCAAAGTTCCAGGAATGTCGTGTTATACGCTGCAAAGGCGGTACCTGCAGTGCTGGCAAATCTCCCAACAGCAGATTGAGCAATCTACAGCAACGTTGAGTTTTCGCGAGAAGATAAGCTGGGGAAGACATGGGTCCAGGAGCTTAGAACCATCCAGACTCTGGCGCTTATGTGTGGAATGATTAGCGATCACGCAGGTCATGATTCAGCCAAAACACCCAGGCTCAAACAAGGGATGCCTGATCTGCAAAGTTGGTATTAGACACTTGAAGCCTACTTAAAGCCCGCTCAGTGCCTAGATTTTGGTAAGCTAAGTGTTCAGGAGCGCTGCGAAATCTGAGTCAAGAGGCAAGCTGCTGCTTTCGCCTTGGCATAGCGTCAGAATTTGCCACAGTGAGCAGACTGCTGCCACCCTGTGTGCTACCCTGCAATTTGCAAGCACCATGCCTTGTCCATCGTAAAACCACTCGTGACAACCTCAGTGAGGTGCTGGCATCAGAGCTATCCACTGCAGGCTCCCAGGCACCACAGCGACTCTGTACAGTCCAGGCGGCGCAGGATGTGTTCGTGCTGCCACTGGGCAAGCAAGGAGGCCTCCATCTCAGCCTCCACGCAGGCCAGACCACAGGGTTTCAGAAAGCTTCCGAGCGCTCCAACACTGTGCTGCGTAGGTTGCACTTGCTGCACCACTTACAGCACTCCTGAAACCACATAAGCAGCAGAACACCGAAGAACGCTGGCGGAAGCACGCCTCCCTTGCGGCCTCCGTGCGCCTCGGCGCTTGATAAAAAGCTTTTCCAGAGTCGACTGGGCAACTCAAGAGCCTCCGTTCTGAGGAGAAGACTTGCAGGGCACTGCTTTCAGTGCCCGTCGCAAGCCGGGAGAACGCAAGTCCTTGCTAAAAGCTTGTCCAGCGATCTCTTTAAGTCAGCACAGAAATCCAATCATGAGCTCGCAGGCAATGTCCTCGCCCAAATAGATTTTTCCTAGGCATCCGATCAGCACATCTCACAGGCTACAATAGCCCATCCGCACAGAGCATTAGGCATCCAAAGCACCGAAGCTGCCATGGCCCAAGGGCTCTGAGGCCTCAAAGGTTGCTGAGTCCTCCCCAGCGCGGCAGAGAAGCATGCCCGGGATGCACTTCGGCCTCGTGGCAGCTTGAGGCTTCTGTCAGTTGTCAGGTGTGAACTTATCCACACCCGAGGTGCCTCGTCGGGTTGCCGCGCGAGGAGCCAAGGCTAAGTTGCCATGCCGTTTGGGCCAAAGCTACGAATCTTCGCCATTCTTCAAGCACCTGTACCTTGCCACTTTCTCCTTGCGAACTTCATGCATGCCCTGGCCTGCACAAACATGCGAAATCACAAGTTCAGCCCTGGAAGTGAAGTGTCAACAGCAAAAAGCAGTCTGAGCTCCTGATCTGGTGTCCTTTGTTCAATGAAGCACCTAAGCATCAAGCCGAAAGCTGAGCAACCCTTTTGCCGCTCTTCTTCAGACACTTGTATCGAGAAAAGTCCTCGGCAAGCCAACAATACTAAAATCTCTGAGCCCCCAGCTCCGCTTTGGAGTACGACTTGATGGCGCTAAGAACTGCGCCACCTTCTAGCCATTACTGAGAGTCTGAGAGAGGGCAGCATCTTGGCTATGATGTCTTGTGATCTGTGGCCCTGCCTTTTCCGACTACCAGGCCAACCTTGGCCTGTGGGATTTCGAACTGAACCTGCAAGCTACAGCAATGGAAAGGCTCCTGCCTTTAATCAGCGTGGTGTGGAAAGTGCTTACCGTCGAAAGAATAGCATGAATAGGGTGAGCATCCTCGAAGCACAATACTGACTTGCCTAAGCGTCAAGCCTCCCATGAAAGTTGAAGCTCGAATAAGTTTCAGAGTGGGTCTCTGCCATCTCAAGAAAAGTTTACCTTCATTTTTTCAGTCGTCGGTCTGCGTGAAGCAGCCGCACGCAGCTAGTCATAATGTTGGTTTGAAGGAGCGTCGGTACCAAAACGTTCCACGCATGCAGCTCTAAATTTGCTGTCTCGCAAGCGTCTTCAAGTATGCCCTCCTGATGCTGTTCCATCCATTGAGGCATTGGAATGTCAAACGTTCGCCGGAACAAACCCGCAAATAGGGGAGCTCGATGCCTTCACCCTGACATGAACCGCTTTTTACAGGCTTCGCGACCTTGAAACATACCCTAATGTTGCATTGGCTTCCCATCCAAAAGCTTTGGAGCTGTTCAGGATCTATATGTGAGCTTCTCAGCAAATTTCGATCGAGGGGTCGAAAACTGCTGACAAGGCAGCCTTGCACGAGCCAACAGCTCCACCTAACTAGGCCTCCGAAATTACCGACAGAGTTGCAGCCAGCTAGCCCCACTCCAAGAAACCAAGGCCTGAGATTGATTCGGAACTGTTTGCGGCGCAGGAGCCGCGGCTCCTCAAAGAGGCCAAGCTGCTCGTGTCTATTGAAATCATAGTCCTCCTCTGGCCTGTCATTACATCTTGGGACCTATAGCTTGCATGAAAGATCCGCATCTCCTATCCGCCCTCATTGTGCAGCCCTCGAAGAATCCCTGCAACCGACAGAGCATCTGCTAATCACAGCTCCCTCCAAAACAACTTTGGAAGCTGTGGATGATGCAGAGATGCTAGCTTGAGCTGCACCCTCGCTAGGCCCTCAATGCTATACCCGTCGGGTCCAGCGGGCGGAGGTACAGCTGCCGGGAATCCTGGCAGATCTGTCAACCCGGATTGCCTTACAACCCTCCTAATTCTTACCAGAAAAAGCAGAGGGAATTCCATGAGCCATGGACCTGTTCGGATACGGACCTCTGTCTCTGTTGTGAAATTTCGCGCTTCACACGCGTCAGCGTGCTTTGCCTCCTGGACCAGGAGCGCTTGGCGGCCGAACAGCTGCTGTTGCCCCTGCCTGCCGGTCCAAAGGCAGACAAGAATCTGTGAAAGCGCGAAGAAATGTGAAAAAATGAAAGTTTTCTCCGTTTGAGGCGCTGGGGCCCCGGCCAGCGGTGCCATGGCGCCAGGCGCGCCAGGCGCCAGTGGCGGCTTCAGCCCAGGCAAGCCAGGCGCCAGCCTTCAAAATCCAGAGAGTTCTTCATCTTCCCTGGATGCAAAGCTCAAACCGGGCCCCCAGCGGCGCCAAAGGGAGCGGCGGGGCATCCTTCGGAAAGGGAAGCCCGGCCTCGATTATTGGGGTTGCAGACGTGACATTTGCACCCTTCCCAAGTACCGAAGATGATTTGAACTGGATCTTCGAGGCTGCAACTGGGCCAGTTGCCGGTGGGCCCGGGGGCACCACTGGTGGTACGACTGGCGGTACCACAGGCGGCACCACGGGCGGTACCACAGGCGGCACCCCTTCGACGCAAAGATTTCATTTGGCTCAGGTCAGGTTTTGAGTAAATTGACTCGAGCAGCCTGTCATCGGACCAGGGGGTCGAACCATTTGTCCAGGTCCTGGTAACACTTGCATCAAGGAACTGTCTCTAGACATTAGCCCCTTCAAAGTCAGGTTCAATCCACACTCAGTCGTCCTGGCATGCCTTGCAAACCTGGCTGCATCGGAGGCCTGGCACCACCACCAGCTTGAGTTAAGGCTGAACTAAAAAGTAGGTCAAAACTTGAAGAAAGCTTTTAGGCGATGGGTTCACAGAGAGCTGCGACCAGAACAAGCCGAGCAAAAAGACGTTCCTGATCATTGAACCGCATGGTGTCTGCTGCGCCGGCTTTGGCGCCTGAGAGGTCAACCACTGGTGTCTGTGAAAGTGCAGCACAGGCTCAGGCCCTGACTGTTTTGGAAGGCGGCAAGGGAGCTGGCGCTAGCTCGCCAGGCTCAAGCTCACCTGAGGCATGCGGCAAACTGAACATGCATTCATGCAAACGTGCTCTACTCGAAGAAGATTGCTGCCAAAGCTATAACCAAGTCAGGAAATTGCAGTCTCCGCTTTGAGGCGCGAGCCCAATGCTTTCTTTAGGTGCAGCACCGCCTCATCTTCGGTGATGTCAGCCATCCTTTGGCGATAAAGGGCAAAACTCAACTACCCCATCCGAAAAATACGCTCCGAGCTTGCTCCCCCCACCCGCTTAGCTTGGAAGAATCAGAAGCAGAAGAAACAGGAAACTGGAATGATTCTAGAGTGGCCCAGCAACTCGACACCAACAGCAGAGGACTTTGCCCTTCAGCGTTGCAGGATTGACGTACGATAAGCTGTTGTGCTCCCACCACAAAAAACATGAATTGCCGCGCACTCTCTATGACCAACTATCCCCTAGAAAAGGTGGTCACAATGGCCTTGATTTTGCAGAGTCCTGCAAGGCAGTCCGCTGGCCACCGGTCGACAAGCAGCCGCAGAAACTCTATGTGTGGCCTAGATACCGCCTGGCTGGGTTGTTGTGTCTGAATAGGAGTTGTTAACCAGATGCTAACTGTCTAGTTGGAGTGCACCTGGGCCTGTTGTGTGCAAGAGTATGTAAAGCAGTCTGACAAATGTTTGTGCAAAAAAGACCGAACCTTGCAGATCTCGAAGCTGTTTCTATACAAACGCTTACGAAGAACAATTTCACAAGAATTGAGCTCATCATTGCCCCATGCTGGCTCTGAGGCTAAATGGCAGCAAATTGGTTGGTAGCCAGAAAGGTTGCTCTGCCTACGCTCTCCATGATGGATCAGCGCCAGGCTTGACAAGAAGCATGTGAAGACTGGTTATGTTTGCAAGTACGGGTGCCAGGAACAATCTGACACAGACATGACATTGCGAATCGTCCAAATCCCCGTTCCTCTTGCTTCTATTACCCAGCCGAGGGCAATCTACACGCAGCATCGCTGCAGCCCTCTTTTGCTGCCTGTGATTGACATCAAGCAGGAAGCGTCCGGCAGAAGCTGGCCAAGAAGCGCAACTCAAGCCTTTTGCCAAAGGGCCGATCCCCCGGCAGCTCCACAACAACCCTCCTGCCCTAATTCCTTGCACGAGCCGATCTTTGTGACTGAATCAGGGTCGCAACAGTCCCCATCAACCTTAGTTCCTGGACAAACACGTTCGGCCGAACAATTGGGGGAGCTGGGAGAGCGGATGGGAGAAGGATGGCCACATTGAGTCTGGGGTCCTCGATGCACTGATAAGGGCCGGAGCTTTGAGATCTTTCAACTGCCAGCGTGACGTGTCAGCCATACCATATTTCTGAATGATGGCTTTCAGCCAGTTTACCATATGGGCTTCCAACCGCCAAAAAAATTCGGTATTCTCCAACCATCTGACATGCGTTCGCCGTGGATCATGATGGCAAAGGTACCTGCCATCAGCCTCTTTGTGCTTGATTTTCTGGCACGCACCCGGCATTGTTTATAAATTGTGTGCGAAAGAGGGAAGAATAAGAAAACTTCAAAACAGAGGGGACTCTGGATCTTTTTTGCGGGTTCCTGAGAAGGAGCGTACTACCTTCTTTCGCAAAAGCACGAGGGTGACAATTCAAAACACACAAACAAGAAAAAAACTAACCCGTAATTATTACATGATGCAATCCGACGGGGCAGCGCACTTTTTCCAACCATGTCAACTCCAGTGGCTGTATTCCCCGTCAAAAGTCTGTTGCACCAAGGTGCAACATTTTGGTGTCCAAATGTTGATTACACCCTCTCGTATTACGGAGACAGATATGAAATTTCATTTCAAAGCAGCCCAAAAGAATCAACTTGGTAAATAACAACCGCATGAGCAATAATATGCAATCCAAATTTATCAGTTCCGATCAATCGTGTAATTGATAATCACAATCACTCACAAGCCACACGTACAGCAGAGACCACTCTTTTTACATTAGCACGGTGGGAAGTGCGAAGGTCTAGGCCATGCAATGCACAAGTCGGATGCCGAGATCAAAACTCCATGTTTCAAGTTTCAAGACAATGCGATCAGAACACCAGATATGGAACCGAAGCGTGGCGCTGCCCGACGCCCCAATACCCATATTGCAGAAGTGAACTGTGCATGACCGTAAACTCCCTCAGCAACTTCATGCGCAAATGGCCCAAACCAGCGATCCGCCTCAAGTGAGTGCATTTAGTCAAACCACTAAGGAAACAGAAGAGGTGGCTGTGGGGCCTGCGTTTTTGACATAGGATATTTATCTCATATTTAGCTACTTATGGTTATAGCATAGGACTGTTTAGCTGTA